ACCATATCAATACATTCTTATTTAATTCTATCATCCATTTCAACTGGTTTAAGAAATCTAGTAACTACACTAACTAATGCATCCTATGACCATTCATTGAACCTAACAATTATACAACAATTAACCAATGATGGAAAAATTCTTACACTTGTTCTAAAAGCATCACCAATAGGTGACATACATAAAACAATATGTAAATTTTTTTTTACTCTTTCTTAGAAAAAGGAATATAATAACTTCAAAGTAGCCTCACCTTCTTTATTAATTGACTAATAAGCTGGTCTAATCATTTCAATTACTTCAGTTTTCAATTCAGTTGGGAATATATTTGAAACTTCAAAAGTATTTAATAAATTCTTAACATCTTCAACAAATGATTCTAATTTGATTTAATTATCAATAAACAAAATTTAAAACCTCATTTTTACTTCCGGATTATTTTAACAATTTTTTAATATCTAAATGCCATTCTGTGTTTCCCATAAGATTTAGAAATTTCAATTTAAACAACTTTAAAATCTCCAATAGAAGATGCTAATCTTACAAATGATTATCTACCTGAACCATCTACTCCAACTAATAATCATTATCACCTGGTTATTTCATAATACATGTGATGATTAATAAATGTTCATACTAAACGCATAGGTTTATCACTTAATCATTATAATTTTATAATTATTAATCTACATCAGTAGCTAATTTAAACTAATCAACAACTTCTTCATTAAATCTTTTTGGAGCTCACATAGAAGTAATTACATCATTAAAGATAAGTCCTCTAATTTCATCCAATTAATCAATTTTATTATCTTTCTTACCATCAGCATCAGATTTATCTAAATGTTCAAATATTGTATCAAAATTCAATCCAAATGATTTTCTCATAATCTCTCTTACTGATCTCAAAATTAATAAGCGATTATCATCATTTATCAATCTATTTGCAAATACTCTCCAAACTTCATGAGTTCAAAGTCTAACCATTACATCTGTCGTATTGATCTTGTCTTTATCTGCTAAACAAATTCCTAATATCACTTTTTACAAAATCTCTTAAATTAAATAAATAATGACTCTTTGGTGGAGTTGATAATAATTCTCTCATTGCTAATTTATATATTTCCAATGTTCCATTTACAATCTTAGATTCCATCTTTAAAATATCTTAAGGAAAATTCTAATTTGTAAAAAACCATTTTAAAATAAAGCCAAAAATACGATTCAATGTCTCATCATCAAAAGCAGCTAATGATATCAAACTCAAATGTCTCAATATTCTTGGAGTAATTAATGTACATCCTCCTAGTGGTCCCATAGTCTCCAATTTCTAAATCAATAAAAAATTATGTTTATGTAGATGTTGTTTATACTGAAAATCTTAATTCTATTGCAGAATATAATCCCTTTGGCAATTCTGCTAAACATTCTTTATATAAACACTTTTTCCTGTATCTGTTGGTCCAAAAAATAATGTTGCTGTACCTGAAAACATATTCTTTAATAAATAATGTACTGTATCTGTTGTTTTTACTAATATTTCATGTGGTTATAATTTTGGTGATAGATTATACTTTCTTTCATTCAATTATGCTCTTTCATTTAATAAAATTAAGGACCAGCTAATACTTTGATACTAGTTTTACAAATAAAAGGTAATCCAACATTCATTAAACAATGTCTTCCAAGAATCATTTCGTATAACTTTAACAATAAAATCTGGAAACATCTACAAATTAGTTTTTTCAATTTCAATATTGATACACTCATACATATTTTTATAATAAATTTCAGGTAATTTGATTGAGAATATGTCATTATTAATACCTTAAAATAAGGGTAAATCAAAAAACAAAAATTTTGCTAGATTGAGATCATTAATAGCTCTGAGCATTAAAATGAATTCATCTTTTTTTAGAACTTTCTTTTCAAATTACCAGCAGCAGTTAATACAGATTTAACACCTCTAGTACCATAATCATAATGATCTTAAAATAATAATTATTCTGAACATAATTGATAGGTTGTAACAATTTTTCTAGCTAAATCTCTTGCTTAACTAAATCCATAAGAATATAATAAAATTTCTGCAATCATTTCATAATTGGGAACCATCATAACAACACATCTAAATAATGCTTTCAAATTATCAGGTAATCAATACTACTGAATTCCTCAAAACATGACCATACTCCAAAACTAGCAAGTCCTTTAAAGAATTTACCATAGCCTTATAATCTAAACCATAAGAACTATTAAAAACAATACATTATCTAGCTAAAGCTTTAGTTAAATCTTTAATAATTTCAGTTTTACCTGTTCCTGCAGGTCCTTCTGGTGCTCCATATCTGTTAATGGTGTAATAACCAATGTAGCAGAATTACCCAAATATTCATAATTGTATTCACATAGTATTATTATCTATCCAATAATAGTAATTAGCTTATCAAGAGAATTCATTGACTTTTTTCACATTTTATTTATGTTATTAATTTAATGCATCCCCACAGTTAATATCTAATACAATCATAGCTTCTAATGAGCATCTATCTAAAACTAAGATCTCAGTATGTACCAAAGCAACAATCTCTTGTAATTATTATTGACATGTAGCGCATATTAACCAGCATCTTCATTTCCTTTTTCTAACGTATTTCTTTCTGTCCAAAATGTCATATACCACATCTATTTATAACCCAACTTTTTCTATTTACATCATTATATTCTTAAATCCTTTCTCTGTTTAATAATGAATACTCTCAATCATTCTTTTTTCAATTTCTACTTACATTCATCAACATTTCTCTTGCTGCATTTGTATCCACAATATTCTAAAATTTTCTCCATCAATTTTTAATTTCTAAAGACCTTCACAACATTTCTTTAAATGTGGTTATACTCTTTAAAGATTTTTTGTTGCTGATAGAATTTCCAATAATTCATCATTTGAGAGAAAATAAAATCTTGGAAAATTAGTTCTTTTACCGTCCAAATAAGAATTCAATACTTTCTAACATACTTCTAATGATGTATGGCATTCTTTCAATATAACTAACATTTTTTCTATTTTTTGTATATTCAATCACTTTAGGATTTGAATTCACTTTATTCATAATAGATATCTAACTTGCAGCAACTTCTTAAATCTAGTACATTCCATTGCAAAGTATGTTTCAAATTATCCGAACTTGTAAATACTAGTTCCAAATACATCCAAACACCTTATACTTTCAAATAATCAAATAATGGTTATGTATAATATAAAAATGCTTTTCATTCAGCTTTTCTACTTTCAAAACTATTTGCAAATAAATTTACCTGTATCTTTTTATGGTTTAAGTTCAGTAATTACGATATCCCAATCTTTTTGCATTTTATTTAAAATCTTTTCCAAATAATATTCTTTAGTAACAGAATAAGATATTTCTTCAAATTTTACATTCAATTAATTTAGAAAGTTATTATTCTTTATCTGGTCTAACTGGAAATCCCATAATTTAAGAAATCTCTTCCCAATGTCTTTTTTTCATATCTGGATTAGAGAATACTCTAACTAATGGTAATAAAACTTAAAAATCATTTATTTTTTCTGTTAAATATTTGATCAAAGTCATAGGACCTTAAGGTGTAACATTTTTACGGAATTTTTATGTTAATTTCTTAGCTTAAGTTAACTTTGTTTTAACATCTTTAACAATCTATTTTTAAGCATCTTATAATTTAACAAACTAAGTATTCTTTTCTCATTATAAATATCCTACTTTCAGCTACATATTCTAATAATTTCATAACATGAGTATCAACTATATCATTAGCTCCTTTTACTTAATAAGCAGAAAAATACGATGTTTTCAATCTATTAATACTAGAAGTAATTTCATCAAGATTATTTTAATATTTCTCTCTTCTTTCTCTAATAAATTATTCTAATTAATCTCTATCCTTTAAAATATGAATTTCTTCTTAATCAACCTTAAGCATCAAAGAATGTACTAATCTAGAAGTATTAGAAATTTAGATTAGATCATCCTCATTGAGTTAATAATTAGTTGTATACAATTAATACAATCATTTTTACAAATCAATGAAATCATTTTAAACTTTTTTTTATTTTCAGTTTTTCTTATCTTTTCAAACTGCTTCCAATTCAACCAATCTTTCAGTTGTATCAGCTCTACCTTAAATATTATCTTAAAGAGCTTAAATTTCTTTGCTAATTCTTTTATTAGTTGTCATAATGTAATCATGAATATTTCTTTCCAATAATTAAATAATTTCTTGAATAATATCTAAATACTTTCTTTTTACTTCACATCCATCAACCAAAATCATATTAACAAGTAGAAAAAATGGAATTGCTTCATTTACTTATTCATATAAATATGAATATTTATCGAATACTTAAATAAATTCATTTCTTGTTCTTAAAACACTAGTTCATTATAGTGCTTTTTCTGTTTCTTTTAAAGAGATATGAATATTTCTCATCAATTTCTCAAGTTTTTCAACATTTTATCGATTGATATCTAAAATTTCATTTATAATTTTGTATGTAAAAACAAAAGTCTCATCAATTTCTGGAATCTTCCAAAAAGAAGTTTTTATATAGTATTTTCAGGTCTTTGAAAATTCTCTGAACATTTATAAATATCATCAATTAACTTTAAAATACCATTTTTGAAGTTATTTAAAAATGATCAGCAAATTCAATTTTATTTCAATCGTGTTAGAGTTTGATAGTAAGAAAAAAATCTTCAATAGGTTTATCAAAACCATCTTCTTCAGCAATAACTTATTAAGATGTTCTTAAAATCTTCTTATCAAATCTTTTAAAGAAATTTCTCTATGAAATTAAAAATTCATTAATTTAAGTTCTTAATAAATTACTCATTAAAGTAGCAGTACTTTCAAAGAATAACATGGCATATCTTTTATTTCTATTTGTAACATGTAATTCTTTTTAATAGAGATAAGCTACCTCTTTTATGCCATTGATTTTATAAATGATTATTAACTTCTTAAATACGATCCTATTAAACTTTTGTAAAATAATTAATATTCATAGGTTAATCTTAACAGATGATAAAACTAGGAAATTCATTTTAGAATATTTAGCTTACCAACTCTTCAACAATGATAGAGTAATTGACTATTAAATTATACACTCGCTAGCTTCATTAACTTTCTTTTTCCAAACTTCACTAGATTCTATACCTTTATAAACAGCAGAGCCATATTCTAGAATTTAATCAATAATTTCTACAATTCCTATTCTTAATCTCTCCTCTTTGAGAACATAATCCAAAATATCTTTCTTCATACTTTAATTGTAATCATGTGTTGTTTCATTCATCATTTCTTCAACATATTTTTTAACAAAGTTAATCTCCTTGCATAACTTACCCCCTTTCATTCACTATCAAAATAGAACCTCTTTACTCTAGGATTGTAATTTGATGCTATTCATCCAACAACAATAACACTATTATATTTCATTCCTGAAATTGGAGCTACCAAAAGTCTAGCAAATTTATCCAATTTTGGTGGAAAATGTATCTTTGCATTCTATAGTTTTATAAATTATTAAATTATTAGAGCTGCAGGATTCTTTATTAATTTAGAAAAGTCTTGGTTTTTAGCTATTCAGGCATAATGGGAATACTAATCAAAATTTATATATCTAATACTGTTCTAATTTTCCAATTCTTGTTGTTGGAGTTTACATCATTTTCTATTAAGAGTTTTCACTAAATATCTCAAAGGCTGCCTTTTTTGATTACATCAATTAACTCTACTCTATTCTATTGAATAATCAATTTAATACAAATTATTTACTTTCCTATTATTATTAGATTTAATTCTTAATCATTTAAAAAATTTTCATTTGTCCTCTTGTTTATAATTCTTTTTCAATCAAATTTCTAACAATCTTTTTTGTTTATGAACCCTCTTTAATTTGTGATTGAACTTTTTAGATTTCAAAAATGGTTCAAATGTAAATGTAGAATCAAATCTTAAAATCTTTCCAAAATATCCTGAATCAACCTCAATTTATTTTTTTGTTTTATTTTTTAAATTAAAGTTTAGAATGCTCCTTCCATTATTGCTTAAATATAAAGATCTATCAACTCCCGTCTATTTAGTTGATACAATTGATTTATCATTTACTTTTTAAGTCTGTTATAATACTTGAGTCTCTATTCCTCCACATAATTAAGCAATCTAATGATAATTAATTTTAATTGTTGGAGTCAGTGTTTCTATCTCTACCTAATTTATATTCAAATTTCTATATAAACTCTATATCGTAGATTAGCTTTATTCAAAAAATTTTTATTTTGGATAAAATAGAACACTTTTTGCTTTATCTAATGCCATCTCCTCACCTTATACATGTGGTAATCTAAATGCAAAGCTTCCTAATATATTAATTCATTATCTCTTTTTTTAAATGTGGAATATTTATCGCAAAACTATTTAGTTTTTTATTTAACAAATTTATCAATTAAATAATAAATATTTGATATATCATTTATTATACTTTATTAATAATCAATTTAAGGATTCATTATTACAAAATTTTGAATATAATTCAGGATTAAAATAAATCCTAGTTTTTAAACTTAAAAAAATGAATATAATCTTTTTCAAATAATTCATCTAATTTTATTTCCTCATTAATAAACTCATAAAAAGAATCATCAGGGTATGGTTCCAATCTATTTTTAATTGCCTAAATGTTGCCCTTATATTATCATCAAATATTCTGTTTTAAATTCAGAGTTGGTGAATTATTTATGTACTATTGTCAATAGTAAACTTTATCTATTAATCTTTGATGAGCAATTTTTATAATTCAAGAATTCTAAAACTTTATTTTGTTTAATTATTACTCTTATGAATTTTATTTTTTATGTTGAATTCAAATTCAAAGATAAATTAAAACCTTACTTTATTATTCAAATTCTATTCTAAAAAATTCCAACAGGAGAGTATTTTCTTTATTGACTTCATTCAATAAGATATTATTGAGAATTTATTTTATAACTTATTTGGCTTAGGTTTATTAAAGTATTTCAATTCTTTTAAATTTAAGTTGAGCCTCAACTTATTTTGACTAGGATTCGAATCTATTTCAATTGAATTATATATTTTTCCAAAACAGTATTTGGAAAAGCATTTGCTAAACTTTAAAAAGGATTGTAATAGTTTTAATTTGAAATGCAAATCAATCTTTTTCCTTATTTTCAACAAATATTTCACCTTAATTTATATAGTGATTAAAGTAATTTTCGATATAATGTACTCTAATGTAATTTCATTTTGGCTTATTAATTAAATTTGCTATTTATTATTGTTTAGTCGTATGAAAATCTTTGAAAACTGTTTTATTGATTAAAACTGCTGTGAATTATTCATCAAATTCGTAGTCCCTAATAAATTGATATACTTTTTAAATAAAAGGTTAAGAGAAGCATAAATACTTTATTTATATTAAAATAATGATTGAGAGCCTACTTATGTATAGAATTCAAGAATTATTTATAATAAATTTATAAAATTTTTATTATTTTTACAATAGAATCTTTTAAAATTAAACATTTAGCTCATGAAAAATTAAAAATATATAAATTAGTTTATGATTTGATATATTATTTTTTATGACTTTTTGATTGATATAAAACATTATCTAATATATTAATGTGCAATAAAATGATCCGATACTTAAACATCAAAATAAGAATAGACGATTGTAATTTGTTTAATTATATTCGGCAGCATAATTTGGAATATCATAGGAAATCTTTAGAATACTGATTTAAATCAATACAGTTATGAATTGACAATGAAAGTAATAGAGACATTTTGGATTATATTCCATTATATGAAAAAAAAGTAAACATTTTTTAAAAGTTTAGAACTACTTAAACTCCAGAATCTTTTCCGAATTTAGGATTAGTAATTTTATTTATAAATAGTCTAATAACAATATTAACTATAAGAGATTTTATATTTTATAGTGTAAATAAAAGATCAAATAAGTTTTAGACTCATTTACTTTTTTATATTAATCCATTAATATATATAATTGGTTTTCTTTGAAATTACATTACATACATTAATTAGTTGTAATAAACATTGTTTTGATATTTTAAAGTCTTAGGGGAGATCATTTTTTTAGTACAATAAAATTGATAACAGTATAAGCTGTTTTATTTTATGAAACATCAAATAAAATAAACTAATTTAAATAAGAACTAGATTAAATGAAGTAGCAGTAGCAATAATAAATTAATAAATATTAGGAAGAAATAGATTAAAAGTCATAAATGCTATTTTAATCTAGGGCAAACGATCTAGTAATTAAATTAAATTTAAATAATAATGTGCAAGTAAAAATCAGATGTAAATATTGATAATAATAAATAAAATTAGAGTTAATGCTTTCAATAACAGAAGTATTTGGAAAGGATGAAGTTGAGGAAGATATTGATTATAATAATTAATAACCTTCTCCAAAATTGAAAAACTTTAAAAGAAGAGCAAGTAGAACTCTTTCTTAAAATTCAGATTTAAATAATTTGATTTCACTCTGATTAAGATATATAGTGTAGAGAGTTAATAATTTTATTACAATGATGAAATAGACGATCTTTTGAATTTATTGACAGACAAAAAAGAAAATATTTGGTTACCAAAGTTCTTAACAAGTCAAAGATAATTAGATTTTCAAAATAGTAGTATTCAATAAACATAAAAAGAAGATTAATTTAGTTAAGATGCAAAAAAGTAATTTTAATTAAATTATTTAGATTCATACTTTCACATTTTACTTATAGAAAAGCTTCATTTTAATATATTGATGATATTAAAGATGATATGGATGACATTGCAGAGAAAATCTAATAGATTTTAATATTAATTTCTTATATCCAGATTCTACTTTAAACAAATTAGATTAGCCATAAAGAATGTTATTTGTGGAAGGATCTATAAATTTGTTTAAATATTCAAAGTTATAAACATTGAAAATTACTAATTTGGAAATACTTGGAGTTTTTCGTATAAAAATACAATCTCTATATTACATAATAGGTTATTTTAGTTAAACTTCATAATAGTAGAAGTTTAAAGTTGATCTTTGAGTTGTCATATGATTTCTAGACGAGATTGGATATAGTAAGTTGTCCTACTAAGTAGAAATTGTTTTGACCCTATTAGATTTGGACTAAATAGAAATGAAAAAGTAAGCATATTATATTCTAATTCTAAATTTTATGAGAATTTTCCTAATTATACAGATGTTATTACCCATTACTTTTTCAGTTATGTTTAGGTGTAGTTTTTTAATTAGCTAACCTATAAACTCAGCTCCATGGCATTCTTGATTTTCTAAAAGGATAGATAGTAAAGCTCCTTTTTTTATCGACTTTTTTAGTTACAAATAATATACTCATAATATATAAAATTGCCTGCTATTAATTTGAATCTACTTAAATTCCTATTTTAAAGTAGAAGGTGAATAATCTAGTTAATTACTGAGCCAAAATGCTTTTGTATTTATCCGTTTGCCTTTAATTCTCTAGTTTTAAAAATAAATTATGTCGCTTCAATAGATAATCTAAATTTTATTGTGCCTTTCATCTTGAAAAAATCAAATGTTAATGAAATTGTTCAGATTGTTTTACATTTTTTGTTTGAAAATTTAATACTAAAATTGGGTGGAGTTTACTTTGATTGCTATTTAATGTATTTTTTTTAATTTTTTTACACTTAAATGATATATAATTATAAATGTATAACTTTATTCTATTTATTGTAATGTAAAATTGCTTTTGAATTTTATTTTGTAACTTCGGCTTACCTAATAAAATTCTTGAGAACTTAATTTACTGTTGGAGCCTTTTAGAAAATTTTATATCTTTTTATTAATGGAAAGTTGGTTTTATAGCGTTGTAATAAAAATATACACTAATGCAATCATTGACCGAGTAGAAAACAAACAAAAATTAAAAAATTCTGGTCAAAACAATAAATTTTTTTAAGATTTATAAATTTCACTATCACTGTCAAATTATTAATAATATTCAGGTTCATTTAATAGGTGCCTTTAAAAGACATAATTTGAGTATCTGAATGAGAATCAAAAATAGATTATGAATTATTAAAAATTGATAAAGTATCAAAATAAATAACAAGTATAATGTTAAACTTTCTTTATAACAAAGATTTTCCAAATAATTAAAATTCAACTGGAATCTATTTACATAAAGAAATTAAAAATTTTTCAGTTTTTTAAATGTAGTTTTGAAGTGATTTAAATTAGGTTTATTTTTTAATGGTTTGCCTGAATCTTTAGGAAATTTAACTTCGAATATTAAGATTTAATGGACTAACTATTGATAACAAAGTGAATTTGGCAGATATTTCAAGAACATTATTTCTATTAATGCCTGAGAGTATGGTTTAATTGTAATAATATTCAATTGATAAACAATCAGCTTAATTAAATTTTGCTGTGAAACAACTAACTA